ATTAAAATATGGTATTTAGAAGCAAAGTGTATGCTAAATGTTCTCATTACTATTGGGTATTGCTGCTCTAAGGCCCTCTCGGTGGCAGAGCTAGGGAATATGTGGATGTATACATGTATGTACATAACCAATTTCCCATTACTGCTGCTTTTTCTTTCTCCACATGTATATCCTTACCACACCATTTGGGCTCCAAATTGGCCAAGACTTGAGCGAGGCTCTCAATAAGTAGGAAATAGGATATTTAGTCAAAGTTAAACAACAAGTATGCTAATCTTAAATGCTTCTGTGTTTGCCATCACTTACCTTCCCTTACACTCCGTATCATTTATACAACCTGATATTCCAAATTGGCAAAGAACTCAAGGTTATTTCCTTGACAGCTAGTCAGCATAAGGCACAACAATTTATAGACTTCTTAAATTGAGAAGGAAACAAATGTCACCTTTTAGAAGCTGGATTAAGTTAATCAAGATTGATTAGCATTCTTCAGCAAAGAAGTATCTTAAACCTGACTTCCTAAGAATACTTTATTTCAGTGCTGACTACAACTATCCCTAGAACTCCAGGGGCAAACCTTCTAGAGGTTATTTGGTACTGGAGCCTTAAAGCAAGCATTCATGAAATGCTACACGTAATTTAGATCCTCTTACCCACTAGTAATATACAATCAAAGCTTTAAAAAGTATTATTATTTTTTCATTTGACTCTTATTTCCATTGGTTTCATCCTTGTCAGCATATCTGGGAAAAAAAAATAGATCAGGTAGGTAAAGCTTTCCTCCAAAGCTCACTTCTCTTATAAAACTCTTCCTCACACACTAAAGCAACCTTTTGATAATAAAGCTGTAAAAATAAAGATTTAACACCTACTGACACATTATCAAGGGGGAATGCATGGTGAGGTGGTTTTCTAATGGTGGCAGTGGATTTTGGATCTCACCTGGTTTCCTTTGGAAAGAAATAGGTCTGCTGACAGAGAGCAAGATATCTAAACATAGCACACAAAGTCTCTAAAATTTAAATATAGATCACAACATTCCCAGTTACTCAAATAGAAATGATAAAGGAAAATATTCCACTGTCATAATTTGTAAAATTGTTGCATAATTGTTCTACCATAGAAATATCTAATTGTTATATCACTAGGCAGTATTGCTTAAGTTATAAAGGCAACAGGTAGCAAAGTTCACAGCTAGCTTATTTGATCCAAAACAATACATTAACCAAAGATCAACTGTAACAGGCTTAAGTACTTAAAATACTACTCTCACAATTAACCTTTGAAGAGCTATTCCTTGCCTCTCAAATTTCTTGTATTAAAGATCACAGTTCAACCCTACAGACCCAATTTTAAATTAGCCTCTGACTCATAATGGCTTAGAAATCAGTCATCTGGTGTAAGCGCCCCCTTACCCTCCCCACCCTGCCCACAGTCATTCATGAATCTCTTTCATAAAATCTCTGAGAGAAGGTTATTTAAGCCCTCTTACAACAGTATGTTGAAAAGATCTGCGGACCTGGAAACACTAAGCTGGGTTCCAGTCCAGGGTCTGCCATTAAGTATCTAAGATGTCTTGAGGTAAGTAAGCCATTTCACTCCTCCAGGCTATATCTTCATGCATAAGACACTGGGAAAGATCAAATGCTGTCTAAGGTCTTTTCCTGTTCTGAAGTTACATAATTATGATTTCCAGTGAGGCTCACTATTTCAAGAAAGAAGTCATTTCATTTTTACACACTCTTATTGTTAGAAAAGACTTTCTAAATTTCCAAACATACACATTCTTCAACCCTGAAATTTTACTTCTTGAAATTTACCCTAGAAATGATGATCACATGTGCATAGAAAAAAATCAATTAGCATTGTGTGTAATAATAATTAATTAGAAACATCCATTCCTAGAGAAATAGTACAGTGTGGCATAACACTATGGGATACTACGCAGCAGTTAAAGAGAATGAAGGAAACCACTCACTAATGGAAAAGATCTCCAAACCATACTATAAACAAACAAAAAAGCTGCAGAGCATGTACATTTTGATACCACTTATGAAAAAAAACTATGAAGGTCTACATAGGACTTTCTACAAAGGTGGAAATGTTCTGGATCACAGTTCAGTACAACAGCTTCCAGTCACCCATGACTATCGATGTGGCTATTGTGACTAAGAAAGTGAATTTTAAATTTTATTTAACTTTAACTATTTTAAATTATTGTACTTGAAAGCGCAGGTCTAGAAGAACAACCTAAACTAGTAACAGTAGTTAGTTCCCTCCGGAGATAAAACTACAAAGAAATGTTGAGGTAAACAAAGGCAAACTTTTGCATTACCTGCATTTTTTGAATGTTTTGAAGCAGGTAATACTTACTATTTACATAAAATAAAACTTAAAAATAAAAGGACTTGTTATTACTGAGCCAAAAATCTACCTATGAAGCACCAAGAAAGGAATTCAGCTTTCTCTTTTGTTTCTACCATACCTGAAAAAAAAAACTGGGGTTAGTATGAGAGCTTTCCCTAATAATATCCTTTAAATCATATTTCCTCACATTTCTCTTCCCCCTCTGCACCCCCTTTTTCACAACTACAGTAACTTCTGGTACAAAAGGTACAAAAATATAGTCATAAGGCTATTAACTAATTAGCAAGGGAGCAGGACATAAGAGTACTTTCTAAGAATGTTTTCCATTGGAGGTGATAGATTTGTGCCTCTGTGCAACAATGTATCCTATATTGGGGAGGGAAGAAGGAGAAATAAAAGAAGAAATCCATAGCTCCCTAAGTGTTCTCTTCTCCAAGCCAAACACTTCCAGTTCTCAGTAGAACCAGAGCCAGAACCCTCTCAACATCACATGACTCTGCTGTAGCTCAGAACAATAACTGGAGTAACGATATAAACACTTCTTAGACACTTCTCTTGTGGGATGGCATATTTACCTACAGTCTCAGTCCAGACTTCTAAACTTTTGGTCATTCATTTGTTTATAAATATATAGTGAGTGCTAGTAAATGCCAGGCACTGCACTTAGCAGAGGGCATACAGCAATAAACAAGATCCATGTCAACAGATCCTCTGCCCCCAAAAGCCTTATTCCTAAAAATTCGATTTGGGTTGATAAACACTGAAAAACCTTGATTTCAATTCATTCCAGACAGGCCAACTCACTTGTTGCTGAATACAGGTAGGACCATGAGACCCACACAATCTTTATTCAAGTTTCTAATACAGGAAAAAATTCTACATAACATGTCCAAATTCTCCAACACAACAGGGCAAGTCTAATGAGAAATTCCCAAATGTCCCTTACACCAAGTTTTCAACAGTCCACAGAAAAAAATGTGAAAAAGAACAAGGTAACATACACAAGTAGAATAAGTTTGCCCATAGAGCTCTCTTCATTATGAAATCGTGTCCTTTCTCTCTCTCTCTTTTTTTTGGTACAGAATTAAAATGTTCTCTACCTCATGAAATAGTGGTTTTTGATAGAAAGCAGGAAGTACCTGTGTTTTTTTTTTATTTGGTTCGTTTTTAAACAGTCTTAACTTGCCAAATTACGAGAGCAGTCAAACCTCTATACCAAATATTTGTTGATATTTTATTTGTTCATGCCACGCACAGAATTAAAGGACTCAAGAAAGTTCCCTCTATTCTAAAATGCACATCCTGAACACACAAAAGTGGCAATTAATTCCTCCTTCAACAAATACACCTCCGTAAGAGTTAAGTCATTACATTTTGACACAAGGAAAAGTTAAGGTTACCCACTCTTGCTGTATAATTTTCAAGAATATTGACATCACAATAAAATGGATTAAACACAGGATTATAAATAATAACCAAAAAGTCTAATCAAACAAAGTTATACTGGTGACAGTAACAATTGTAATTGATGACAATTACTTCAGTAACAATAAAAGTAGCCAAATTCTATCTAAGTTATTTGTAACTAGTCTTAAATATCATCCACACTGAAAAAGGAAGTTTACATTAAATTCCTGAAGAGGGGTGGGGGAGAGAGGAGAGAGAAAAAAGCGGAGAAAGATCACTTGTTAATAGCAGTACAAACTCTACCACATCTTTACCATTAGCAGTGACAAAACTGCAAATTTTACTTAGTACTTGAAAGTGAGACAAAGCTCCCACGGGACACCCACCTCTTCTCCACTCACCCATCCCCCAATAAAGAGTATTTGTCCTCACCTTCTGGTAACCGCTATACTTTCATGTAAGGGTTAAAATGTAGGGAGCTAATACAACACAGCCTAACCGAGAGGGTTTTCCAGCCAAGCAGGCCCGGATTCCCCAGGTGTGCCTCTTGCTGTCTGTGTGTGACCTTGGGCAAGTCACTCCCCTTCAAGCCCCACTAGGCTGTAAGCTCCGTAGGGCAAACACTCCTCCTGCCTTAGCGCTGCAGGCTTACAGTATTGAAATATAAGCTGCTTCCTGTATAGAGTGAGGATGGGAGCAGTATTTATCTCATAGCAGTAACTGGAGGGTTAAATTAGATATTATTTGTGTAAACCTCTGGCGCAGTGCCTGATCGTAGTAAATGCTAAAAAAAAAAAAAAAAAAAAAAAAAAAAAATGTTAACTTACTCACATCAACTGCCAGCTCTCAAACCTGAAACTCTTGGAAGATTTTCGAATACTAATATAAAAAGTCTTCACCCAGTAAATACAACTTGCTCAATTAATATAAAATACTTCACACTAAACCTACAACTAGTGTCTAAATCACTGGGCTGGGAATGTAATCAGAGATGAAGCCTGAGTGGTATGTAAGCAGCTCTTAAAAGACATGCAGTCGACTCCAAGTTTTTCTACTTCAAAAGTAGGCCCTAAGCATCCTCCCCATTGGCTTCCCACTCTCCCCTCGGACGTCTCCGGCTGTCAGGGAACCCCCTCCTCCGCGCTGAGGGGGAGGAGAGAGGAAACCTCGAGGAGGGGGCTGGGTGGGGGGAAAGCGCGCGTCCCCGCGCCATCGCCCAGACCCACCTTGAGCAGGATGGATGGCGGCAGCTGGTTGATGTCTGGGGTTTCGGGGGGCGGCTCCCTAGGGCAATCGCAGGGGTTTCCGCGGGGGTCCTGACAGTCCGCGTCGCCGCCTTCGTGCTGTTGCTGGGCAGGCGAGGGGGCGGCGCTCCCCGCTCGGACTGCGTCCCCGCCGGCCTCGGCGGGGGCACCTTCGGAAGTGGGAGAGGAGGGCTGGGGGCAGAGAGGTTGGGGCGGCTGCTCGGAGCCCTGGCAGCCACCGGCATCGGGGGGCCGCGGAGGCGAGGCGCCCCCTCCCGCCGTCCCGCCGCCGCCGCCGCCCCCACCGCCACAGCGGGGCTGCTTACAAGGGGTGCAGGCGGGCACCCCGGCCCCCTTCCGCTTGCACACCATCTCAGGGGGCGTGGGGGGATCGGCGGGCGGCGGTGGCGGCCCCCGGAAGAGCTGCACCGCGACAGGCGGCCCCAGGAAGCGCACGGGCCCCACGCTGGCCAAGAAGAGGCTCCGGCCCTGCTGCTCCCAGGCGGCGGCCGCAGCCAGCCCCAGCTCTCTGCAGCAAGCGGCGGGCGACGAGGCAGAGGCGGCGGCGGCCGCGGCGGCGGCGGCCGAGGAGAGTAGGAAGCGACGGGCAGCGGCAGCGCAGTCCTCGGCGGCCAGGGCCGCGCAGCGCCGCGCCAGGTGCTGAGGGGAGGCGGCCGCAGCGTAGGCCCCGTCCCGCGGCGGCGGCGAGAGCGGCGGCTCCTCCTCTGGGCCGGCGGGGGCGGGAGCGCCGGGGCTGTGCACGATGAAGCAGAGCATGCAGGGCCCGCGGAAGAAGCAGTCCCGGCTCCGGGGCGCCGCCGGCTGTGGGGGCGCCTTGGCCGGGGTCCGGCGGGGCAGCCTGAGGAGAGGGCGGCGACGACGGCACCAGCTGCAACAGCGAGGCCTCTTCTGGCTCGGGCGGTTACGCGGCTCCTTCGAGAGAAGGTGGCCCATATAGAAGGCCCCGAGGAGGGGGACCGGGATGGGGAAGGAGGGAGGCCCGGAGAGGCGGGTTCCCGACAGTGGGACAGGCCGCTCGCCGACTGGGCCTCGGGCCCGCGGCAGGGTCGCCCTCCCTGCGCACACACACGCACACACGGGCACACATGCGACGGTGGGGGGTGGGCGTCAGCTGCGGGCCGCCTCGGCGCCCGTCGGGGGCTACATGCTTTGCCCAGGGAAGCCGGGAGAACGATGGGCGCGAGCTTTGGGGACGCGACGGAGAGAGCGAGCCTGCGGGCTGGGCGACCAGTCCGAGCCTGACCCGCCGACTCAGTCAGTCACTGCGGCGGCAAGGGGGACGCAGGGTCCCGCTCGGACCATTTTAACTGCGGCTCCGCCGGCGGCGCGCGCCCCCGCCACACAGCTCGGAGCCGCAGGAGCGCGCGGCCAGCTCGGGCAGGGGGCGGAGTTGGCTGCGGCGGCGCGCTCCGGGCGGGGCTGCGGGCACCGGCGGCTCACCGGGACCGCGGCTAGGTTGGGACTGCTGAGAGGCTGGCAGGCGAGGGCGCAGGGCTCCTTTCTGTCCCCTAAGGTTTCGCCGAGGTCTCTGGGCTCGCACCTTTTTTCTGGGGCGAGAGGAGAGCCTTCGGAGCCAGCTGTGTGACATCCGTTTGCAAAGCCGCGCTGACGTCTGTAGGTGTAAGTTCAAGAACTGCCATTGGCCCGGAGCCGCTCAGCTCTTCCGTTCACCCCCGCTCCCCGACTTCGTGACTGTGGCCCCTTAGGAGCTGCAAACAGGGTTCCGTCTAAAGGCCGACCTGTGTCCTGGGCTGCCTCTTCGGTGGAGTGGCTGATGGGCAGCCTTTGGGTGGTGCGGACCGGTGTTGTCCATAAGGAGTTAATGGTAGTGCAACAGTGCTGTGTTTCTCCTCTTGTTTTCATACTTTTTGTTACTTGTGGAAAACTACTAGCTACATAACTTTATTTCAAGATGAAAGCATATATCAAATTATTTATACACACCAGAAAGATAGTTTGTCATCCCAGTGAGTCATCCAGCATCCCAGGCGATAGGCTAAACATCTACATGCTCAAAGTCCTAGCTATCTACCCATCATATACTTTAAAAACGATTGTGCAGTGCCTCCTATATTTTAAAATATAGGTAGATCTTGGTGGCTAAGATGAGAAAGAGGAAATAGACTTTGCAGGGAGCACTTAGAAGTCTTGACGATAATGATACCAGAAAGAGGACAATACAGCGGTATCTGGTGTTGAGAGATTAGCTTTCATGAGGGAGAGAAATTGGAAGAGGCCTCGTGATGGGAATAAGCTTAAAGGAGGAGATAAGGATATAAGAGATAATACAAGGCCCTGGAGAAGATGGAATCGCAAGTGCCTTAGGAGGGATACCATCTTCACTGTGATTGGTAGGAATAAGGAAAGGAGGGGTAAAGAATGGATATGGAAAGGTGGATGTTTCTGGAAGGAAGTGAAAGATTCCTTTCCAGTGGTCTCTTTTTCTTTAAGTGGAGCCTGGTTACCTGATAAAGGGTGGAAGGAAAGTGGCAGGAGTGTTTAAAAGCTACTGGAGCATAACTTGAGAGAACTATTTGAGGAAATAGGAGTCAAGGCCCATCCCCTTGGAGACCGTTGTTGGAGCCTGTGTGACCTTACCACCATAGTGGCCACCCTCACCCACCCTTCACCCAAACATACCATCAAACCTTTACTAATAATTGCCTCTTTGTTAAGAATGACTTTTATTTTAGGTCCACCAGTATTCAGGGACCTCCCTTTCTGAGCTTGGTCACAGTGAGATGGAAGTCCAAGAAACCTAGAGGCAAATACTTATGAAAGGGTTTTACATACTATCAAATGCACTGCCCAAACTATGTTTACCTTACCTATGTACATTATTCACACAGCTTTCATCCCTCTGACTGTAAAGGGATATTCCAGGGCCCCAGAGCTTGATCCTTGAGGCCAGGAGGTTAGGAGTAACTGGGATTGCCTGAGGCCTTGTAAAAGATCTTTGCCATCTCTACCAGGCTGCACTTTGAACAAAAGGAGAGGAGTTCTAACATTTTTCATTACTTTGACTATGTCAAAATTGTGGACCCACTAGTTTCATGCAAGTTAATCACACACAATGACCTAGCAATCTCACTTACAGGTATTGATCCAAGAAAGATGAAAGTATATATTCATGAAAAGACTTGCACAAAAATGTTTATAGCAGACTTTATTCATGATCACCAAAATCTATAAGCAGCCCAGATGTTCATCAGTAGAGAAAGCACAAACAGATACACTTATTTTATGGAATACTACTCCATAATTTTTAAAAAGAAAACAAGAATGAATCTCAAAAACTTAGGCCAAATCAGACTTTCTGCAATTGGAGGCCCTAGCATCTATATGTAATTTTAACAATCTCCTCATGTGTTTACTGCACAGACACCCTGACACCATGCAAACCTCTCAAGAACTGCACATATGATCTAACTTCTTGTTTCAGAGATGAGACAAGTGACTCGGAGACTTTTGAAGTGTTTTCTGAAATTCACTGCACTAATTCTTCCAATTCCATACCCCTTCGGCCACACGCAGGTGGCTGTTTTTCTTTTTACCACAACATGTAGCAGAGGGTCTTGTGTGTCACAGTAATGATTTAGTAAACTACTACTGTTGTCACTAGAGCTGTAATGAGTATTAGAATTCATTATCTTAAATAATAATGCTGATGATACTCTAAATATTCAAGAAACAATTACAAGAGTTATACATTGCTATTTAGAGATAACAGTAGCGCTTGGTTTTGTTACAAAAAGAAAAGCCCAAACAACTGGGAGCTGGCCTGGAACTATTAAGTAGGCTCTGGTGTCACTGCCGTTCTCAGATAGATCAGAGTGCTCTGTTGAACATATTTTCACAAAACATCAACATCAGACATGACTACCCTGTGACCATAATAGACAAGACAAAAATAAGACCCTTCATAATCATGTCTAGCCACAGCAAATACAAGATCATTCTCCAAACCACCAAAATGACCAAACATTCTGGCCAATATAAAGTGACTTCTATTTCTTGACCAATTATAATCTTAGCTTTGCTTCATTCTTCCTACTTTCTAGATAACAATTATTAAAATCCCCAACCATAGAATTACCTCTGCTTCCTGACAGCATCCATTTCAGAGCAAAGCTTTGAACCTTCTCAAAATCACCTAACAGAATCCCAATCCTATAATGTCTTTTTTAATCATTTTTTTATCTTTTAATTACAGTTGACATATTATTTTAGGTTTTTTTTTTTAAACCATCTTACTTAGACCATCCACAATTCCTCATGGTGTGTTACCTGTTTCCTTGTGACAAGGCAATAAACCCAACTTGGTTTGACTATGAATGTGTTCCTGTTGGTCTGTGGCTGGAAGGCATTCACATCTTTTAAAATCGAATGTTACCACCTTATCAAATTACTAACCCTTTATGCTGTACACCTTAAACTTACGCAGTGCTCTGTATCAAGTATATCTCAATGAACTAAAATAAAATTACTTCCTCCTTTCCTCTTACCCTGTTTTTATTTTCTTTATACCTCATCACATGTTTATTTTGTCTTTAACTTTCTGTCTCTTCCAGTAGCGTAAGGGTCATGAGGACACAGACTTTGTTCAGTTTTCAGGAATGTAATCTGGCAACTCTATGGAAGATGGACTATAGTAGGAAGAGACTTGTAGCAAGAAGACTAGTAAGGTTGCTCAACGGGTCACTGGAGAGGCCTTAAAAGCATGAATTAAGGCGATCATGGCGGGGATAATGAAGTAGGAGTAGGACTGAGAAACATTTCTATGGAATTTTCAGAATTTAGTGACATTTATGAATTAGGTAGAGGGAAGGGGGTAAAGGATAGGGAGGAAATGAGGAAACCCACAATAATGACATTTTCATATTTGAATACAATTCAAACCTGGGGGAGATCTGTGTTGACATAGATTCACACGGAAAGCCAGTAAAAATATTTAAAATATTGGAAGGAGTTTAACAGGAAAGCCTTTTCATACTTCTTTACTGACATAGAATGTATTTACTTTGAAATTCACTTTTGCATATAAATGAGACCCATGTATAAAACGTTTAAATGCTTGCAGAAGGGTAATGATGGTTGTTATAAATAACTAAAACATCCTGTGGTGCCAGTGATGGAGATAGAGCAGTTGACATGCCCTTGATCCCACTGATTTTGTTGTAGGCACAATGGATAGTCAGATAGCCCAAGAGAACAATGAGGGCCAGAAGACATTGTTTCATGTGTCCAGAAAGTATGGAACACCCCAGGTGTTCAATACATTTAATTTCTTATTGAATTATGTTTTTATTAAAATACTCAAAGTCAAAGATAATAGGACAAACAAGTTTTCAGAAATTTCCCTACAGAAGGACAATTTGTACTCTAAAATAGTTTGTTTCAGACATAATATTAAAAAATTCAGCAACTGCCTGGACTGTTCTTCCCCCAGCCCTTCTCATGACTGATTCATGTTTATCTTCCGGGCACAGCTCAGATAGCACCTCCTGTCACAAGAGCTCGTCTGTAGTTACTCTGTCATGCTACCGAGTTCATTTCCTTCACAGCAGCTACCACAGTCTGCAATTGTGGTGTTTCAGTATTTGATTATCACTTCTATCAGAGTCACCCCATACTTTGCTTACTTGGGGATCAACAGCACTGTAAGTACCTTTTCAGCTGCATTTTAAAGGGAGGTTATCCTGGGTTGGCCTGATAGAATCAAGGGAACTCTTTAAAAAAAGGGTCAAGAAGTCAGGGAGATTCAAAGCAGTAGGTGCTTTTACTGTTTGGTCCTGAAGTGTGGCCAGGACGGTGCGGCAAGAAATGGCAGGTGGCCTGGAAATTAACAGCCCCTGGCTGTTGGCCAGCAGAGGGCTGGCCTTCAGTCCTACAGTATTCTGAATTCTGCCAACAAATACCATATATAAGCTTGGAAGACAACCCTGAACTAAAAAAGGGAGCATTGCCCTGCCAACACCTTGATTTCAGCCTTGTGAGGCCTGAGCAGAGAATTCAAATGAGCCTCTTCCAGGACTCCTAACATACAGAACTGTGAAATAGTGTTGTTTTCAATCACTACATTTGTGATAATTTGTTGTGGGAATAGAAAATGCATTCAACCACCAAACAGTCTTATAGAAAACAGGATATATAGTTTAACAGGAGAAAGTGAAACAATTATTCATAACTTTTCAAAGATTAATTCAAGCTCATGAAACAGTTAACCAGAGGTTAATCAGAGAATTCATTGTTCTCCCTTTACATGAATTAGCTGGGGAATTCTATTC